CAATTCTTTGTTGCAAGTAAGTTTATTTGTTAGAATTTGCATTCCATGTTGCGCTGAGTCGCCTAAAACTGATCGTCATCGATGTATCGACAGAAGAGCCTAGTAGTAGTAATGTACTGCGGAGCGGAAGAAGACGACATCATCGCACTCCATGCGCAGGATAAAATATTTGGAGGATTCGAGTCGGAAACAGAAGGAAGACGATGATGGCTACAGCGACGAGTCATTTGAGGGCGACACTTTCATCGAGCGTAAAAAGAATTGATGCTGGTAGTCCCACGATCTGCAGTGACGAGGAATTCTACTCTGATGACAACCTGGCAAGCGATTGGCATCGACACTGACTTGGGAGGTGAGTCGGCCGATGATTTGGCCAGAATGGACATCGCTGCACATATCCGGGACAATGCCAGTATTGGTTGCAAGTGCAAAAACAATCACTGGACTCTGCTGCTACCTCAACTTGCTCAAGTCGATAATTTTGAGTACCCTTATGCGGAACATCGCTAGCATGAGTAGTATGCAGCGAAAGCAGTACTCTCTGGTGAGCGGAGAAAACCGTGTGCAGATGGGCTTTGGTGTGGGGAATATGAGTGCAACGTCAAGTATGTGTGTAGCAGTGTATACTGTATATCTGAAAGTACAGGTGGAGTGTGATGGAGAGGACGTGGAGTGCCAACTTCTTCCGCCATCTTATTAGTCTGATGTTGACCGTGTTTTCGCTGGCGGTTCTCCAGTGGTGCTCCAAACAGGAGGTATTTCGGACACCCAGCTCAGCTGCCTATAGACATTTTTGATGTGGCTGAGTACCTGTCAGCTCATGCTATAAGACCCTGGACAGAGGAATTGACCCGGAAAGGATAAACCAAGGGGCATATCAATTGTGTGCAAAAATGACAATCCCATTGCTGTACATAGAATTTCGCCGTTTCAACAGTGCTGCATATAATACCATTGTAGCAACACTTAGACATGTCCGATCAATCCAAAACTTTCAGACAGTGAACATTAGGTGTGTTAGATCATTTTTAAACAAAAACTGGAAATCGAATTTTTTGGTCTGTGGTCATATTTTAGCGTGCTCTGGCTCATTTGATGGTTGACTTTGTGTACCTTATCTGGTTTTCTCTTGTCTTGGTTGTTGAATGAGTTGGGTAAACGGTGCTGCTTGGATGGTGTTTTCGGATGCGGGTTTACTCTTTGTTTTGGTATTCGATAGTTGACTTGATTCTTTTATTTTATTTTCTTATTGAATTTTCATATTTATTTGATTTGATTTTCCTATCTACGATATACTTGATTGGATTTGTCACCATTGCCTTCTTTGCCACCGTTTTTTGAATTCTTCATTCCGGCACCCAGTTTGTTATCAAATAAAGTCAACGTTGTCAGTGGTGGTGGTGGTGGTGGTGGTGGTGGTGGTGGTGGTGGTGGTGGTGGTGGTGGTGGTGGTGGTGGTGGTGGTGGTGGTGGTGGTGGTGGTGGTGGTGGTGGTGGTGGTGGTGGTGGTGGTGGTGGTGGTGGTGGTGGTGGTGGTGGTGGTGGTGGTGGTGGTGGTGGTGGTGGTGGTGGTGGTGGTGGTGGTGGTGGTGGTGGTGGTGGTGGTGGTGGTGGTGGTGGTGGTGGTGGTGGTGGTGGTGGTGGTGGTGGTGGTGGTGGTGGTGGTGGTGGTGGTGGTGGTGGTGGTGGTGGTGGTGGTGGTGGTGGTGGTGGTGGTGGTGGTGGTGGTGGTGGTGGTGGTGGTGGTGGTGGTGGTGGTGGTGGTGGTGGTGGTGGTGGTGGTGGTGGTGGTGGTGGTGGTGGTGGTGGTGGTGGTGGTGGTGGTGGTGGTGGTGGTGGTGGTGGTGGTGGTGGTGGTGGTGGTGGTGGTGGTGGTGGTGGTGGTGGTGGTGGTGGTGGTGGTGGTGGTGGTGGTGGTGGTGGTGGTGGTGGTGGTGGTGGTGGTGGTGGTGGTGGTGGTGGTGGTGGTGGTGGTGGTGGTGGTGGTGGTGGTGGTGGTGGTGGTGGTACGTCAACGACACGCCAGATGTTCTTGCTGACGTAGACAGCCACAGCAGCCCCTGGGGTATGAAATCGTTTTCGTCGTTCCCCTCCGCAGTGGTAGGTTCTTTTATGTCCAATTCCCTGCTCTCCCAGGGAGAGTATGGCTACCATAGATTTTGGTATTCAGGATAGCTAGGGACAGAAAGCCTAGCAAGGGCCTACAATGTGAACTTGGCCAGCCTCAGCCGAGTTCAGCTCGTCGGAGCACTCCGGGAAAAAAATTCAGCCAAATGATCGAGTAGCATTAAAGACTGGGCTACCAATGGACCGACCCTCAAGCCGCCAGCACCAGGATGCTTACGATCATGAATCAGCTGAGGGAGACAGTGTGTCTTCTTGTGGAAGATATTGCGGACCTGAAAAGTCTAACAGCCTCCAAAGAACAGAAAAAGGAAGCCGCCATTGCGGACTTTCGAGAGGAGATTCGGGCTCTCCAGGAAAAGAACGTCTAATTCCAACGTGAAAGGAATAATCATTGGAGCCAGCTGCAGTACGTGCTAGGGGGGATTTCTATGCATCCCGGATAGCCATTGAAGCACCAAGAGAGTCCCCAGCACCCCTCCCCCCCCCCCAGTCCGCCTTCTAGGCTGCGTTCGTTTTTAGCTTCCTGGTAGAGTAGAATCACTCTATTGATGGAGGAATACGGTAGAGGTTCAGGGGTTTTACGTCGGGCCCTAGACGACGGGCTACAAAGGCCAACTGGACAACAAAGAAGGTGACGCCTAAGAGAATGTTTTATGATTGTGCGCATGCTTATAATGTGATAGTGACGTCATTCTGCTACAGTACTCCCCCGCCATTGGTGAGGCCGGGAGGCGCGAAGCACGATAAACAAGGAAAAGAGAGAAAAGAAAGGAAGCGCGTCATGTACAAGGCGGAAAGGCAAAAATAGAACACAATATGTACAAGAGAGCGCTGCGTGTATGAAGTTTGTTGATAACGTGGCAACAAAGACCAAAACAAAACTCAGAAAGCAGAAAGTGGAAAAGAGAGAGATGCATGACAGAGGCGGGTGTCAGAGTTGGAAAGAAAGAAAAGAGGGAATGTACGCGTGACAGAGGAGTGTTATCATGTAAGAGGCGGCTGCAACGTACCAGTCACTGAGTACAGGAAACACTGGGGCGAGGCGTGCCGTGGGAGGCGAGGACTCATGGAGGCGTGCGTACCTCCAAGTCCTGTGCCGGGCATATGCCTGCAAACTGATACTTGGGGTGGAGGTGGCCAATTTCCAGCTTGAGGCCAGGATGAATACAAAAGACGAAGACGACTGAACGATGTGCTGTGACAGGATAGCGGGTTATCCAGGTGGGCCCGGAGGTCGGCAGGGGCCGTACTAGCTCTGACGCGGATCCAGTTTCGAGATGGTGAGGCTCAAGTTTTACAGTCAACAGTCGGCGATTGACTGGATCCCGAGAGTTGAGGCGAGCAGGGAACTGCGGCAAGCCGAGCTCAGGGATGGCATGATGAAAACTCCGAAGAGCGCATGTCGGGGTCACCAATTTAGGGTTTTAGGGTTTTAGCAGTCCGAGGCGGATCCAGTGTCGGATGATACTGAGATTCAAGTTTTATGTTGCCGGCCGGCGATTGGCGGCAACCCAAGAGTTGAAACGAACAGAAAACTGCGGCGGGAGCTCAGGGATGGCACGCATCGGGCAAACTCCGAAGTGGGCAGCGTGTGGGGTCATCAGTTCAGGGCTTTATGTTGCGCTCTAGTCGACGGCTACAATGGCCAACCGAACAACAAAGAAGTTGAGGCCAAAGAGAACGATTTTTTCTTACGCACGACTATAATGTGATAGTGAAGTCAGGTCGATACAGAGGTATCTGTACGCGGATTTTTTTTCTTCTGTATTGAGTTGTGTACAACTACAGTCTGTATCGGCTATTGAGTGACCGGATATAAGAATATATCGGCTACAGTGATATTGGTAAGAAATATCAAGAGCAATACACCTGACCACACAGCCACATTGCGCTCTTAGCCGATCCAAACTCTGCACTCACATCACCAACACCACAGAAACAGATATCTGGAGGGTCATTGTCAATATCAATCCATATACCGGAATTGTCCTCTTGTACTTTTCGCTGCTGTTATTTCGCTATCTTTCGCTGGTTTTGTAAACCTGAAACACTAACATGACATTTCGGAATCGTAGGAAAGCATGAATAATATTTTGGAGAGCCGACAGTCGTCACAGAGCAAGGCTGTCAACGCTGCAAACAAATAAGGGCGAACTTTTCTTTCATTTCTTCGTCCACCAGGCGCAATGGGAAGAAAAGCACTGCCCTCACATCTCGTTGTAGCTATTTTTTCAGTTCAGACCTTGACAGATCAGGACAATGGCACCCAGGAGCAAGAAGAGTGGAAAATGAATAGCAATAGCAGCTAGCGTGCCGAAGCTTCGCCATGATGTCAAAACTCCATGGCTACCTGCAGTGGCCATGATCATCCTTAGCAGATGGATGGTCCTTCGTAGCTGTCTACATACAACTGTATCTGATACAAGGCTGCTCTTGGTTCTGCACGGGTTTCGGTACAGGGTGGATGAAGATCCACATTTTCGCTTACGTTGGTTGCGACCAACTCGTGAGCGTCATCAGGTATCGGTCATAAAGGGTGGGGAAGGGTACCTAAGATCAACCAACGAGATGCCACTGGGCACTGGCGGATAATCATCGAAAAGGTGGCAGATTCTGCTCGAAAAGCAGTGAAATTGGCAGAACGATACAAACCTTATGGCGGGCAATTTCTCGAATTTTGCTCCATTTCTTTATCCCCATACCAAACATGCATGAAATTTACAAGAAAAAATACCGAATTCTGCCAATTTTCTGCCGGCATGATCCGCATATGCCTCGATGCCACATCCCGAAATCCCATTCGCCACATCTTAAAAGAACAGAACAACGCCAAAAAAAAAGCCTTTTTACGATACATGCACAACATGACTTACACTTTTCTCAAATTGGTTGTTGCGTCAAACAGCCCAGCAGGTAGGTCAACAAGTTTATTATCCCACAAAACTCTGGGAGAACAACGTAGATTTTTGATAGGATGAATATCACTTCCTGGAAGAATCTCTTAATACTCTTTATACCGTGCTATACACATTTACCGCATATCAAAATAACAGAACTACGCAAAAAATCTCTTTTCCGATATATGCACCCCATGACTTGGATAAGATGTACATTGTGTAGTATCCCTGCCTTGCTTGTAACGTACCGTATATTCTCTATTATAAGCGCAGGTCTCCATTACTAGCACAGTCTCTAATACTAGCAAACTGTGAGCACCTTTCGAAACATTATAAGCACAGTCTCTATTACTAGCACGGTCTTGGTGGAAATCAATGCTGCATGCATGATATCTAGCATGTATTTCTCCTTGCTCTGTATGGATTGTATTGGTTGAAAAAATATAAGCGCAGTCTCCAATATAAGCTCGGTCTCCAATATAAGCACGGGGTAGAGGGGTGTTGAAAAAATATAAGCACGGCGCTTATAATAGAGAATATACGGGGGTATTCTCGTACGTTAGCGTATCCCCATACGGTAGCGTATGTGGTCTGTTGCCGATAAAAGCTGCTGGCCATTTCTGTTTTCATGAGATTTTAGAACAACAACAAAGCCGGACAGAAGAGCTGTTCAACCTCCAGGTGTGTACCGGAGAAAGTTCTTTTTATCGTCGCTTCTTTTTTCAAAGAGAATTGGTGAGCACACATGCTCATTCCCTGGGCACTGCAAATTCACAACTCATTTTCATTTCTCAGAATAATTTTCAACGTTTTTGGCAAATTGCCCTCATCAGGATGCTGTATGAAGTGGAAGTCTGCAAAGGAGAAGTTATATACATCAATTTGGTGTTCTTAGGTGTCATGCAGGTTCTCACACGCAACGGGAAGACTTCGTGGTAGTAAAATAGATATTTCTCTTCCTTTCGAAGAACCAAACTTGCCGAGCCTCACCGAAAGCAAACTCTGAAAAAGCCCTACACTAGTACGGGATTCAGCGCCGAGCAAAACATAATTATGAGTCATTATACAATGCATGCAGTGTAGCCGTGAAAACTGGTGAATAAAGAATGCAGTAGGTTGGCAGCACGTGACCCGTCGTACCGCAGTACACGACGGCGTCGCGGCTTAGAAATGAAAGGAAACACTGCGAGAAAAGACAAAACGAAAATACATGTCCCTTTGTCAAAACTAACTTAGAAGAAACAAACAAAAGGCGACCAAGAATCATTTTGAGAGTCAACGTCAATACTCTTTTGCAGTTGTGCAAATTCTTGTCTCGCACTGTGCAACGCAAGAAACAAACAACCCACGAAATGACTCGTGAACTAAGTGTAGGCTTAATCACCACATGTACGCGAAATTGCGTTCCAAAATAAACTGAATTTCTGAGACATTTCATATTTCACATCCTAAGAGAAATATTGAATAAATAGTAAAGAGCAATGAAAAATATCAATTGTGCACTCATAACCATGTATAAACAATTAAAATGAAACAATTCCAGAACGTTTTCGTGTGACCATCACCAGTGGAACATCGTCACATAGTAAGAATCACTAAAACAACCAGTTATATAGCTAGAGTAATATGAAAAGAAGAGTGAGAATGCAGCACAGCTAGCGGTTATGCATAACGCGTGTAGTGTGAACCTTTGCAGTGTATCTGAGAATGGTAGCAGCTTCTTTTCATTTTACTCTAGCTATATAACTGGTTGTTTTAGTGATTCCTACTATGTGACGATGTTCCACTGATGATGGTCACACGAAACGGTTCTGGAATTGTTTCATTTCAATTGTTTATACATGGTTATGAGTGCACAATTGATATTTTTCATTGCTATTTTACGACTGTTGTCTCCTCATCGGTTATTTAAATAGTAAATACATCATAAAAAAACACATGGCCACGACGGCCTTCCCAACATTAGCTGTTAATATTTCTATGACTACACATGTTACCTCAGTGCTAGGAATATGACATGTCTAAAACTAATGAAAGATCACAAGCTTTCACTGACTTCTATGCTGTGTGTTGGTAGTAAGTAATTAGATAGCACAGAGCAGATGTCACCAGATAACTTGAGTAATGTCTGAACAGGTTTCTCGCGAGCAATACACGAAAGTGACCATGTCAGTGTTTTCCAGAAAATATTGTCACCTACCGTTGCGCGGTGAAATACGGCCCGAAATGCAAAGCCGGCGCCGCGAATTGGCGCGAAGCCAGCTCCCATTACATCACTGGCGATTTGTGTGTATGAACTCAACGGTACGCACCTCGCGTAAAAGTTCGGAGTGCACGTGTTGCATACTAAAAACAGTTCAAAATTTCTTTCATTCACTTCACTCAAGCACAGCAGGATCTTCTCGATACCGGAATACCCAACATCCTGTTTCAACCTCCCTCTTCGCCGGACATTGGTTGGTTGGTTGGATTTATTTAAAGTCGAACAACGAACAGGCATGTCTGCCTCCTTATATGAAGACCACTTCTGGCAATAAAACATTTTAAAGAAAAGAGAAAGGAAAAAAGAAGAAGATAGTCGCTACAGTAAGACAATACGCGTGCAACACACCCTTGAACTGGAGGGGGCGTGATGTTTCTCGCATCAGGTGGAAGACTGTTCCAAACGCGTGCAGCAGAAAGAGACACGGGATGAGTTCTGGATGGAAGCTGCAGCAGATGTTGTTGGGAGCCGAGCGTTTGGCCAGCCCTAGTCGGAGTGACGAAATCTCCAAATAATGCGCTGATCAGCGGCTGCTCCATGGTGGAAAGTAGGCACCGGTACCGGTAGACCAGCAAGCACACTGTCTAACGCAAGAGCTGGTGTACACGAAGCAGGTTTGCTGTGTACGTGAGGTGATAAGGCGCGCATGCGCGCCCGGGCTCGTGGCTGGTTTTGCATGCTTGCTGTGCTGGACTAGGTCCGAGAATGTGAGCTCTCTTTTGCTTGTCTTTCTGTTCCTTGATTATTACAATAACTGTACGAACCTGAGTATTGCTGTGTGTGGGCCCTTAGGGCCAGAGATAAAAATTGGCGACGAAGATGGTAGGACGCAACTCCAGATTAGAAATTTTCGAAACTGGGGATTTTGACGAGTATGCAGAGAGACTCAATTTTCATTTTCTGGCTAATGACATTGGCCAAGTTGCAGACGATGCAACCGAGACAGTACAGGCAGCGGCAGACAAGAAAAAGTGCGCCGTGCTGATTAGTCAACTATCCGGTCAGGTTTATTCCACATTGAAGAATTTGTGCCTCCCAGATAAACCAGGACAGAAGAAGTTCGAAGAGCTGCTGAAGCTCCTCTGTGATTATTTCAAGCCCAAGATCAGTGTAGTTGCTGCCACCTATCAATTTCAGAAAACCCTGCAGAAGGAGGGCAAGTCTGCGATCATGTTCGCGGCTCGATTGAAACGGGCAGCCATGGACTGCAAGTTTGAAGCTTATCTCGACAGGGCCTTGCGTGACCAGTTCATCACTGCGATCGGTTCTACCAGCACGACGAAGGAAATCCTGGCGAAGGCTGAGGAGACGACAACATTTCAGCAGGTTGTCGACATGGCCACGGCTCATGAGACAGCTGCCCGCGAGTCTGAGACGTTTTCAACGTAGTTTCAGGCAGTACGCGGAGAGCCGGGGCTCGCCGACAACACCACGTTCAAATCTGACAAGCCCTGTTTCCGCTGTGACAAGCTGGGACATCGACCGGATGAGTGCCACTTCAAATCTGCGAAGTGTCGTGCTTGCGGCAAACTGGGACACATCGAACGAGCCTGCCTAAAGAAGAAAGCGGCCAGGTCCGTCAAGCATGTCGGGACGCATGTCGGGACAACATCAAACCCCAGTGAGCGTGTTCCTTGTAATGACTCTGTACCGATGTTGAATGTGAATGCCACCATGAGTGACAGAGCTGTAGCACCGTACACTACGCCTGTCGAGCTAAATGGGGTCAAGGTGCACTTGGAAATTGATACGGGTAGCACCGTCACACTGCTAGGAAAGAATGATTTTCTGAAATGCAATGGCTCCTTGTCTGAGCTGGTACCATCCAACATCACCCTATCTACATACACAGGAAATCCAATCAAATGTCTGGGTGAAATCGAAATGAAAATGGCTTTGGGTGGTGAAGAGGAGAATGTTCTGGTCAGAGTTACTGAATGTGATGGTCCTTCTCTCTTAGGCCGGGATGTCTTGTCCAGATTTACTTTGCCATGGAAATCTATATTCAAAGTGGGCACTGGCGGGCAATCCACTACCGATTTCGTTAAGAAATACCCGAATCTGTTTGACAACTCCACTGTGGGTACGGTGCAAGGGGTGCAAGTAAAGCTGCACGTGTCAGATGAACAACCAGTCTGCAAACGAGCAAGACCAGTACTTCTAGCAATTCGACAGGGTTCATCGACGCGTTGAACAAACTCGAGGCTGATGGTTTGATTGAGAAAGGGACACATTCCGAATGGGCCTCACCAACGGTGCAATTAGAGAAACCAGGAGGGACTATTAACAAGCATTCAGAATGTGAACAGTACCCACTCCCCACCCTCGAGGAATTGTTGCACAAGTTGGGCCCGGGAGGGAAGTTTACCAAACTCGACTTGTCCCAAGCATACCACCAGCTAGAGGTAGCACCGGAAAGCAGGAAATACACCACCATCAACACAATTCAGGGCCTGTACCAGTACAAACGCTTACCGTTTGGTTTCCACAGTGCCGTATACATTTTCCAAAGGGTAATGGAAGAAACCTTGGTTGCGCTACCAGGCAGCGGCGGGTACATTGATGATGTGCTGTGTACCGGGGAAAATGATGAAATCCATGAGGAAAACGTGGACCGGGTACTCCATCGACTGGATGAGAAAGGTTTCAAATTGAATCCGGAGAAATTCTGTTACATGGCTGAGGCACTCTCCTACTTAGGTCACACGATCAGTGGGCAGGGCGTCTCCCCTTCAACAGCCAGGATACAGGCACTGAAAATGGCCAAACCACCACAGAATGTTGC